TCGTCACTCCTTTATTTATTTATTTATTTATTTATTTTCCCAACAAGCTGCATATTATTCATAGGAGCTGATGACATCCTGAAAGCAAGCTGTCCCCATGGCCTTCAGACACTAATTTGTGAGGTCCTAATTTCCTCTTTATCTTCATGTCTTCTCATTTCACATGCCACAACTGTTTGAATAATTTAAATGATCAGATACATGTGAGCATGACAGCAGAACGGTGAGGACTCTGACTCTGAAAGGGACTCGGAGTTTGCAGATCAGGATGACAGATTTCGGCTGGGTGAATTTTTACTGTCCTACCTCCTTTGTGTACAGATCTGGCGCTAACTATATAGTAATAGTGTATCGCCAGTGATTTGAAGGGAGAATCCTAGTTGATCTCGAATCCAGAGTTGTCACTCCAGATAATTAAAACAAAGGACTGGAAGGAGGAAGAAGGGAAGCACATAAATGTGAAGAGCTTCAGATGACATAAAAGAGAGTCAAGTAAATGTGGCTGCATTTCTAACATGGATTTCAAAGAAATCATAGCCTATTGTGACAGAAAATAGAAAAGAAGCACAAGTAGAAAAAACAAAGGAAAGGCAATAATCTGGAAATTATAATAATCATCAGTAATTATGTAAACAAAGAGAATTCTCAAAGTAAAAAAGACAAAGATGCAGATTATGTGAGAAAAATCAAACTACATGTTCATGGTAAACTTTGAAATGTTTACAATAATGCTCAAATGAAGGCTAAGGATATAGCTCGGTGGCAAAGCATATGTCTAGCAGGCTCAGGGATCTGGATTTGAGCCCCCTTAACCACAAGATAATAATGATAACCATAATAATGACAAAGAGAAAATGGGAGACTTTAAAGCAAAAATATTCAATGATTCAAGTCATGAGCACAAATAAATGACCAAAATATGTGAGCTAAGAATTGTTATGAATTGTAGAGACACATTATAGACAGATTCTTGTGCATTCTGATAAATTATGTTTATATATATATGCATATATATAATCATGCATATATGTATGTATGTATAGTTACACTCATGTATGTAGAATTTAAATGATTCTATACAGGGATATATATGTAGGTGAACTGTTATATGTATGCCTTATATATATTTATATTAGATATTTCTATATTTTCTGTATATGTATGTGTGTGTATATATATACATATATATGTATAATTTAATAAGACAGTACATATTCTTTCCAGGTATTCATGGAAGTTTTACAAGAATTTAATCATATATAAAGCCTCAAAGGGACCTCAGTATAATTTCAACAAGTAAAAAACTGTGCAGGAGGAATTTTTGAGATAATATAGTGGCTAAAAATAACAGAAATAAAACAAGTCTGCATCAAACTAAAGGAAAGAAATGACAACGACAACAATGAGAAATGACAGAAAATTGAATGTAGACTGCCAATAAAAATGAAAGGTGGGGCTTAGGACATAGTGAAATTGACAAGGTTTAAAACAAAAGATTTAAAAACTGGACACCAATACCAAATAATAAGATGAAAACGATCCAACCATAAGCGTAAGATTAAAAATCGAGAACTAAAATTCAATAGAAATGTAAAATATGTAAAAAAAAAAAAAGCATAAAAAGGCAAAGAAAAAGCGTTATTAAAGGAAACGAAGACAAAGGGGAAGGTTTAGGAAAAAGAAGGTTTAGGAAAGAAGGAGGGAAACAAGAGAACAGGAAGGAAGTGAGAGCTGACCAGGGGACCCTGGAGCCGGAAATGGAGAGAGGGAGGTGAGGCCCCGGATGATGAAAGGCCCCGGATGAGGAAAGGCCCCGGATGAGGAAAGGCCCCGGAAGCCGGCTCACGGCGGGCTCTTCTCTGCTAACTCCACTGGCGGAGCGAGCACAGATTCCTTTCAGTTATAAACAAGTAGAAAAATTGCCCAAAATATTCTTAAAAACATAGCTGAGCTCAAGACAGGAAGGCAAGTCTCCAGGTACTAAGATCAAAGAGGAAACGCTCAGAGGCTGTGGAGGCTGGCACCTGGGGCTCCGGGTCAGGCCATCTTCCTGGGAAGCGGAGCCTGGGACAGAGCTGGGCGTGAGGAACAGCCCCGGGAAGGGAGGCTGCAGAGGGAAGCCCGGGAGGAAGGAACTGGGGTGCCCCAGGATGCAGCCCTCAGCTGACCCTCCTGGGTGCTTCAGAGCGAAGCTGATGGTCAGAGTTGCTGCCAGTCAAAGACATGGCCTCTGCCTCCACAGAGGCATTATTAGCTGTTGCTTGGCCCCCAGATCCTATCACACCAGAGAACAGGGCCTTCAGACTCAGCTGAGGGCCGTCAGCCAGCAGCTGGGCTCCCACTGTCTTAAGAAATGATAATCCAGGGTCAGGTGGAGTGCTTCTAGAAGACCCATATAATTTTCTTTGATTATATGGATAAATCAATTTTTCTTATTTTTTTCCACAAATCATTTAACTGCTTCTATGTCATTTTGACAGTATTGATTATTTTTTTTTCTTTTTGGTTTTTTGGGAAGATGTAACCAAAGCAGCTTACTGTCTTCTCTCCAACAGGGATGCAAAGCCACATAAATGCTACTTACTTACAAAATATAAATTTCAGTGTTATAGGAGTGGAAAATTTGAAAAAGAAAAGTTGAGAATGACCAAAACTACGAAAATGCAGAATTACGTGCAGCTATTAAAATCATGTTTTTATAGAATGGTTATTAAGAAGTTAATATACATAGTTCCACTGATGGATATATGATTCCAATTTCTTAAAGCATTTTTCAAAAATTTACCCTAATTGTTAAGGCATAAAAATATGAAAGAAAATAGATCAAAATAATCTCAGGGTTGAATTCTATAATGTATAGATTTTAAGTAACTTATATTTTTCTGAATAATCTAAGATCTTGTATTACTTTGTAATCATAAAATATTAACATTGTTTGTAAAGTAAAGAAATAATTGCACTGGCCTATTTTATACAGCATTAATTTGCATATTTATATTTGATATGAGAACTGGCCTGTGAGAATAAAACAGTATTATGTGGATTGGATATTTTCAATATACTCCACGGTTTTTCAATTTTACTTTTAATACTACAGTAGTCTCCCCTGAGTCGTTGTTCCATTTCCCACACATTCAGTTACTTATGGTAAACTGTGGACAAAAGTATTAAATGGAGTATTCTAGAGATAAACACTTCATGAGATTTAAATTGCATTCTGTTTCAAGTGGTGTAATGAAACTTGCACCATCCTGTTCCATCTTGCATGGGACATGAATCACCCCTTCCTGCAGCATATCCTGCATGCTGGGTGAGCTACCTGCCCACTAGTCACTTGGTCATCTTGGCTTCAGATATATTGTCATATTGCAATGCTGGGTTCAGGTCACCCTCATTTTAATTAATAATGGCCCCAAATGTAAGAGTAGTGTTGATAACAATTTGGATATGCCAATGAGAAGCTGGCAAAAGTTCTCAAGGAAAGGAAAAATTATATGCTGAGTATCATGGTTTAGATATGAGGTGTACCCCAAAAGCTCATCTGTGAGACAATTCAAGAACATT